GAATGAATGAATGAATGAATGAATGAATGAATGAATGAATGAATGAATGTTCCCATGGCAGAAAAGAGATTTCCAAGTAGAAGCAATCAGAGAGTACAAGCAGGATACCAGAGATATCTTGGAGAAGCAGCACCTAGATCTACTACTGTTACCTTTTGCCTGGTCAATTCTGCTGCTCAGGCTGGAACTGCTACTTTGTTTGGATTGGCTGCAAGTAATACATAGATTTGGCTGTATGGAAACATGGATCTCAGATTCCAGTGTTCTGTGTCAGAGCTAATTAGGAATAGTCTGGTATTTCTACAGAATTTGGGAAACACAAGCTTCCTAGGGCAGTGGCTGCAATACTGTGCCCTTGGATTCTAGCTGAATCAATTTACAAGCAGTGTGCATAGGATTGGTCTCTAAGACCACGCTGTGTTGGAGAAGATGATTAAAGTTCCATCTACCACTTCCATATGTGGATGTGGGCTAGAACCAAACATGACTTGTGTGCTTGTGAAAAACCAAATTGTGCAGGGCAGAAATTTATGTGGGCTCTGTATCTGGGGCCTGATAGCTTTGTGTACTTTGTCCAGTAAATTATAGGCTCAGATACCCCTGTCTTTGTGGCCAAGAGGGAATTTTCACTTGATAGTAGGGAGCATGCATACAAAGTTTTTGTATGGAGTTGTGTGTGTTCTGTAACTAGAATTTGTTTACAGTGTCAAATAATAACCTTTCTGGATGATTTTGCAGCTTTATAACAAGGAGTAGGAAAGACAAGGAAGATTCTTTGGTTGCTTGGTTTGTTTGTTTATTAGATTTATATGCCACTTTTCCTTCAGGAGCTCAAGGCCCCCTCCTTCTACCCCATCCCCCAACTACAAGATGTGAGGTAGATTGGACTGAAAGTAAGTGATTGGCCCAAAGCCACACCGTGAGGCTTCTGGGGCTGATGGTGGACTACAACTGGGTCTCCCCAGTCCTAATCCAACACTTTAGCCACTACACCATGTTGGCTCCCATATTCCATTCCTCAAAGAAAAACAGAACAGTAATTCCCATAGAGTTTTCTTTAGGGCAGAACATTTAAGTGACAGCCCTTGCCTTTGGCAGAAGGAAATCTGCCAGCCTTGTAGCAAAAGAACTGAGCCAAACAATCTCACATTCTCCAGTGTTAGTTGTGAATGCTGGCTTAAACTCTGCTGATGTTGCTGTTATATTGAGAAAGAATTTGCTGGGATCAGATTCCCCCACACGATGACAACTTTTGATAGTTCTTGATATCCTTAGGAACCTGATGCTGCAGCTGCTCTAATTAACAGATCACTATGCTAACATAGTGTTTCGTGGGCTAAAAGTAAGTGTAAATTCTCTTGGAAAGGTAGCAAGTGGTATATGGTCTCTCTTGCAAGGGATGAAGGTGTATGAAAGGAAGTCAAAATGGTTGTGTGTAAATACACTTCTGTTCACTTTCTTGTATGGAAGTGAGAATTGAATACACTGGGAGTTGCTGAAGAAGAATGTGTGGTAAAACTAGAAGAGGTAGGATCAAGAATTAAGGTGTGCTGAATGAACATATATTGAATAGAGAAAAGAGTAGTATGTTCAGGTGGTTTGGGGGAATGATTAAATTGCAAAACAAACACGAAAGAAGAGTGGGAAGACTGAAAAAGTTGTGGTTGGACAGAATTGGCAAGATCTTCAAAGAGAAAGAGGTATAAAGTTTAAAGAACAAAAGACAAAGTTGCAGTCTTGTTAACATTTGGAAAACAGCCAACCATTGTCTGTCTTCTTCTGCAGATCCCAATCTATCTTATGCCATGAACTAAGGACATGGAAGTGACTGTCTAAGGACTGAGCAACAGATTGCATGGCTCAGCCATGTTTCTCTTCTCAAAGTACCAAAAGCTGAACAGTCACACATTTCAGAATTTTTCCCATATTGGAAAAATTAGCCTGCTAGCATGAAAAGTTCTACCCTACCATTGATCGTGCCATAATAGTTTTCTACATGCCTATGCAGATTTCTTCCGTCAGCTCCCTGAAATGACACAGTTTCTTGTACAGTGAAAACTACCATTAGAGTTACAGTTTGTAACCTTCTTTTTACATTCATCAGGAGAGGCAGCGAATGTCTGACAGATTAGAAGATACCAGTCTGAGGCTGAAGGATGAAATGGATTTGTATAAAAGGATGATGGACAAATTGAGGCAGAACAGGCTGGAATTTAACAAGGAGAGAGAAGCTACTCAGGAGGTTGGTAGCTATGTTTGTGGCACAGAGCCAGTGCGTCTCCTGTGTTCTCTCTTCATGCTGATGCTATGCACTGAGATTAAGCAAAATCATGTTTTAAAAAAAACAAAACTTAATATAGTTTTAAAAACCGCATGTTGTTTGCATTGTGTCTTTGAAGCAGGAGTTGTTAGTAATAATGGCTGGCTACCAGCCATTTTCAAAATACATTCCTAAAAACCTTGAAGCCTTTCAGGTGTGATATGGTGATATTCACAGAGGATGACATGGCAGTTTCATGGTGATAAATCTGAAAAGTTGAAGCTTGGGCTGACTGAAATGGTCCTTGATTGGCAACCTTCTTCTCTCATGTAAGCACTCTGGTGTGAGATTTATTTAGATAGGCTTTGGGCTTAGAAAACGGCCTGTAAAAATACCGTCCTTGTTTTGTGACCATTTTACTTGCCTTGTTTTTATGTTTCTTTTAAAGAAAAAATTAGATAGTACTTCTAATACTGCCCAATAGCAGATTTCCTCTGAATGATGTACAACTTGTTAAAACATATATAAAATCAAACTCTATAAAACTATAAAGAATAGATGAAAAAGAATATAAAATAAGGCTACGTAAAAGCTGCCTGAAGCAATATAAAAACATGAAACTCTATATAGAGAACAACACAACAGATAAAAATCAGAAGCAGCAAAAACAGTGGCAATAAATCTAGCATAAAATAACAACAAAGTAGCAATAAAACATTAAAGTTCTAAAACACAAATGATTTTTAAAGGGCTTGGGAAAATAAAAAAGACTTCACCTGGCATTGCAAAGCCCATAATGAAGGTGCTTAGCAAGCCCCTCTCTCTGGAGAACATTGTCCAGATGGGGCACCACCACTGAAAAGATCCATTCTCTGATAACCACTCATCTTACCTTATTTGACATAGGAAGCTGAAGGGCCTCAGGAGAAGATCTAGCCTCCAGGTAGATGTAGGAGTTGACCATCTGGCTTTAAGTCACTTTGAGTTTTATAGGTTAATAGCAATAAATTATAAAAGGTCTGGAAGTAGATTGACAGTCAGCACAGATGGTACTATCAGCTAGTCTCAGCAGTCTAGCTGTCCTGTTTTGAACTAGCCAAATTTTCCAGACCATTGCAATAGCCTGAACAAAAGGTTGCCAGCACAGGAAGAACCACTGCAATCTTTGTTTTGGTACAGTCATAACTAGTATCTCAGTATAAGCCAATAAAAGGCCCTCCAAGCCACTGAGGCCACTTGGATTTCCAGTGACAGCGCTGAAGCCAAGAATATCCCTGTACTATTTAGGTTCCTTGGGATACTATAGATCTTAGTTTTAATTAGAGTGGCAAGAATTGGCTTTGTGCCCCAGATTATCCTGATGTGTTTCTGGCCACAATGGTTCATTATGTCCTGCTTTTTTGTGCAGCTCATTGAAGATCTGAGAAAGGAATTGGAACACCTTCAGTTGTATAAACTTGAGTGTGAGCGGCCCGGTCGAGGAAGAAGCTCTTCCAGCTTGAGTGAATTCAATGCCAAGGCGAGAGAAGTAGAAATGGAACATGAAATTAAACGTCTGAAACAGGTGAGGTGTAGTTGGGGCTAGAGAAGGATAGAGTGAGAAGAACCTTCTCTTTCAAAAGCAGCTGAGTGGTAGGAAGCCAAAGGATTTGTCAACTCCCCCGAGCTTCTGATGGTCTGAAATTACAAACAGCTCCTTTTTGCCAAAAGTTTTTAGCAAAAGGACTATGTCATTTAAATACTAAGCATCTGGATTTTAGCATTCACAAGTCTTTACCTGACAGCTGACTATGCAATTTACCCGGGGTGGTGGGGAGTTGTCATTCAACAGCTTCTCTCAGGGCACAGGTTTCCCACCTCTTTTCTGTTTATTTGCTTACTGCTCCTCCATTCTTACTGTCCCACAAAGCTATGAAGCTATAGGGCTTGCAACCACGTATTGCTGTTGCTAAATAGAGCAGACCTCTTCAGGTACACTTAATTTCACCTTTGAAACCATGGAGGGACTACACAGGGCAATGGAACCGGATGTTGGAAACTATCCAGTTTACATTTTCTGTTTAAAATCCTAGTTTTGCTGATTTGAATTAAAAACAAAACAGAAACAACACTATAGGTAGTCCCCAGTTTAAGAACCTGAGTTCTGTTCCCAAGGTCTCTCCTGAAGTTGAATTTGTATGTAAGCCAAAACAGTATTATTGTATAACACTATATAAGTAGTATTGTATAATGAACGCGAATCACTGTGTATTGAACTCGAATTTTGCTACAGTAGGCTCCGTTCTTAACTATGAATCATCCATAAACCAGGCATTCTTAACCTGGGGACTCCCTGTACTGAAATCGACAAGGATTTTTACCCCTTGCTTCTGTAGGAACTTCTCTCCAATATCCAATCCAAAGATAAAGCTTATTAGAGATGTTTGTCAGTTTTCCCTTATTTCTCCTTTCTTGCTCAGAGGAACAGGAGCATTTATTTGGGAAAAGATTGGTATTAGAAGAAGGCAAATAGCTATTCCTTTTCCTGCAACGACAGGGAAACCGGTAACCTCAGCAGTTAGTTTCATTGAACGAAGCCAAGAACTTTCATAGACTTCCTTTTTGAAAGCTGATGTCATTTGCACTTGTAAAGCTTAGGGATGGGGGGAAGGAGGGAAATCAACAAATGTTCATCTGAAGTATCCTTAGGGTGCTAAGCAAATGGCTCATTTGCCTTTTGTGTGTGGGCCTTCAAGTCAGTGTTGACTCCTGGCAACTGCCTGGACTAGTCCCTGCAGTTTTCTTTGCAAGGTTTTTTGGAAGTGGTTTTCCCTTGCCTCCTTCCTAGGGCTGAGAGAGAGGGACTGGCCCAAGGTCCCCCAGCTGGCTTCATGCCTAAGGCAGGATTAGAACTCAGGGTCTCCCAGTTTCTAATCTGATGCCTTAACCACTGCTTAAAACTGGTTGTAGTTTGCCATGCTGGACAGCTAACATCCTTTCTTTCCTTCCTCTCTCAACAGGAGAATCAGAAGCTCCATGACCAGAACGACGACCTCAATGGGCAGATCCTTAGCCTCAGCCTTTATGAAGCTAAGAACCTTTTTGCAACGCAGACAAAAGCCCAATCGCTGGCAGCTGAAATTGACTCTGCCTCCAGGGATGAGGTAAAGTGACTGGTAGCAATCCATTGGCAGCTAATTAAATGACTGGGCTGGCAAAATATTTCTCAGCAACCAGCTTGGAAAAAGCCTAACTTGGTGGGGAACTCTTATGACATTTGAAAACCAGGTTTTAGCACTGCCAAATTTGCTTGGGATGTTTTATTTCAGTTTGGCTGGGGTGACATCAGAATGCAGAGGCACCAAGGCATCAGAATTGGCTAAAATTCCTGTTATTTTTTATTTCTCTTCTGTTGTACATCCCATCCAACTGAAAGTTATTCTTCATTGAGAATTGTTTGGGTGCATCACTCAGGAATTGTTCAGGAGCATCTCCTGAATCTTAGGGCTACTAGATCTGGGCTGCAAACCTCTGGATGACCACTGGATGGCAGCAAAGAGATACAAACATGCAAACCTAGAATTAGATAGTATCTGGGTGTGCCTGCCTGCCTCCCCTCCAACCTGTTTTCTCTTTTTTCAGCATTTCTTTTACAGTCTCAAATGATTCAGCTCACCACATGTTGACTTAGCTTTCTGTCCTTTGTGCAGCAACCCCATCACACATTCAGGAAGTTATTCCAGAAGTATGCCCTAAGGATGGCTGTGGCTTGTCTGTCTGTCTGTCTGTCTGTCTATCTCAGCATCACAACATTTTCTCATTGTTCTCTCACACACTAATTGACTAGGAAGCACAAATGGGAAGGTTGATTTGATTCCTAAAGCTTATAGAGCAATTTTACCCCACAATCCAAATGGTGCATTTTACTCCCCATAAGTGAATATTAGTGTTTCGTTCTTGTGGAGGAAAGTAAAGTGCTGCAGGGGAAAAGGAATGGTTAAGGGTATGCAGCTCCTGGGTTTACAGGGTTAAGCTTTCCCTGGCCTTGCCAGTGCTGTAATGTTGGGTTGTTGGATCAAGAGTGTGAAAACCTAGGTTCAACTCCACCCTTAGCTTTGGAAGTCTACTGGGTGATATTGGATCAATCAAAATCCCTCAATACACCCACAGCATAGGTGTGGAAATTAAAGTTATGGGGTGGGGTGGGGGATATACTATGTATGCCACTGAAAATAGACTACAGATCTAATACATTAAAACAAATGGGGTTAGGGTTAGGAAAGCTGCCTGAACAAGGTTTTCCACCTTGTAGAGGTACATCATCTTGAAGTAAGACCAGTTTGCCTCCATTTGTAGATCTGTTTCTGCTTCACAATAGCACCAGCTTCTGCATAAAGAACAATTGCAGAGTTGCTGAATGAAGTCAAGTAGCCATGCTGCTGATTAGAAATGAGATACCTCCTCACTCTGTGGTGGTGCTTTGAAGGGGAGGGTAACTCAAATTCACTATCAAAGCAAAGTACACCTTTGAAGAGCTGTGTAGTATTAATAAATGTGTGTACCAACTCCTGGTAGCTCAAGCTTGGTTGAGCAGTGGCAAAATTATAGGAGTTGCCCAAAAGGTCTAGAGGAGATTAGGGTGTCTTCCCTTGTGAGAAAATAAATGACTGAGTTAGTCTGTGTCCATCTTACCTGCCCAAGAATTGAGATTCATACCAAAGTGTAGTATGACTCAGTGGCTTCCACTGAGTTTCTGCATAAAACAGAATAAATTAACTGAGGCACAAGGATGGGGTGATGCTTCTGCTTGAAAGTATGGGGTTGAATTCATTATGGTTTCAATAATTTATAGAATAAAGGTAAAGAAATAGCCACTTTTCTTCTTCCATCCATCAAATTAATCACTGTTAGAACAATCTGGAAAGAAAGATACATTGAAAACAACTTTGAAATTCAGGGGAACTCTGGAAAAATGGACATAGAGGATCTCTGGAATAGTCGTGACTATAGAGGATGTCTTAATCTAGTTCTTTTTCATTTCAGCTCATGGAAGCCCTTAAAGAACAGGAGGAGATCAACTACAGATTGCGCCAGTATATGGACAAGATCATCCTGGCCATCCTAGACCACAATCCATCCATCCTGGAAATAAAAAATTGAAGATCGGGGCAGGAAGGGAGGTGGGCAGATAGGATGTCTTTGGATCCAAGTATCACTATTTGCTACTGTACATGAACTTATAAATATATACATATATATAACTCTCTCAATATATACACACACACACATGCATGTGCGCGCATGCGCGCGCACACACACACAATATATATATATAAATAGAAAAAAACTTGTGTGGCTACACAGGGCGTGTTTATATGAGGTTTGGTATATTTTGTGAATCATAATTTGCATTGGTCCATTTTTCATGCACTTTCTCTGGGGGGATGCTAGGGATTATAATGAAATAACCACATAACTGGATTTGCACTGTTTTAGATACTGGACAGAAAAAAAATGATACTACCTCTAGATGAAAAGATAAAACACGATGGAAACTAACTTGTGCCAGTCCTTTTCCTACCCCACAAACAATGCTGACTTTTTATGTCTTATGAATAGCCTTCCTGTCATCTTCTCAGAAATGTCGTATTATCAGGTTGAATTCTCACTGGTGCTGGCTGTGTTGTTTTAACTTTTGCCTGAGTTATGCTTCTGGAGTCCTCTCCTTGGAACAGAATGTATGTATGATACAAACCGGGTATTCCAGGAAATTATGAGTTTCTGTTTGAACCTGGACTGTTTTCATCAGAAAGCAGTTTCTAAATCTTGAACCCAAGTAGCTATGAATCCTTTGGGATGGTGACCAGTGTGTTGTATTCCATGGGCATCCAGGGTGCCCAAGAAAACAGTGGATCAGGGGGTTCAGTGTTCTCTTGAACTTCAGCTACCAGACTATTTCTGAGGTACATTTTTAGACTTTGGGTTTTATCACAAGGTCACCAAGGACCTAGTGGTGGGAGAACAATAACTGCCCCAGGGTGCTTTTGGGCTACAAAACATTCACAGCACTGTTTCAGCTCAGCAACAACAGCATTAAAAAGGGGTGGTTGCAGAGAGCTTTTGGCTCTCCACTAAGGGTTTGTTCACTGTTCACTGATAAGAACCCCGTTCTGCCACCATAACAAATAGAAATCAAAGATTTTTAAATCATTTCATTTTACATTGCTTCATGTCAGCATTGACAAAGCATCCTCTGCTAATAAAGCAGTTAAGAAGTGGAGAAGGGTTTTTGAGACCTGTGGGTGAAACTGATCCTGTTCTTACTGACGGGCAACACTTTACATGGTTCTCTTACAGTTCAAGGGAAAAGGTGCTTGTTTATACATACTAATATTATTTGATGCAATTCTGGAGTTAACTTTTTGATGAGTCACTGAAAACTTCTGCCTAATTCACTGGGGGTGATAGGTGTGGAAAAGCCAGAAATGACTGTCCACCAGCCACGCAGCTCCCTGCAGTTATAGGAGAATGCCACTTCACTTTGTGCCACCAATAATATTCTCAGATTCATTCAGGCTCTTCATGTCTCTTGCCCCTGCTGCCATCACTGTCACCATCACCACCTCCTGCTTTCTTTTTCTTTTCAACTTTGGTTCTGTAACATAAGCACGCATTTGTTTTCAGAGCAAATCCTCATGAGGGCATCACCACCCATGTACATCACCACCCAGGCACGCTCTAGGCAAATCTGTAAAGTTAAGTGACGGCTTGTGTGGGGACCATGGAGAAAATAAATTTTATCTTTTCAGTTACAGGTTTCTCCATTCCTGCATGGGATGTGTTCTGGTGAAAAAATAGCATAAAAGCCTATATGTGCATTGCATGCAACAATTCAGGCGCATAGGCATGTGCAGTCAAATAGGCATACATGAGAGGAAGAGTATGTTATTATATAATGACCTCATGGTCTTCCTACACCAAAGGCAGGCAACAAGATATCCTCCCTGGATACTTGCATTACAGTTCCCATGAGCCCTGATCAGTGTAGGTGGTGGCCAAGTATGATGTGATCTGTAGTCTAAAATACCTGGAAGGCCCCAGGTTGCTTTTCCCATCACACATGAAAGGGAACTGCATGCTCTGTATAATAGTTAAAATACTATATTGGTTCTATGTATTGTTTTCTTCTGTAAGCACATTTCCAGTTTCAAATGAAGATGTCTTTTTTTCCTTGCAGTGTCCTGAGTAAAGTTTGCAAAATTACTTTTAAAGCTAGGTAGGGTCTCTTCAAAAAATAAATCTAAAGATTGAATCTGATGTTACTTTATCAGTTTAAGCTTCTAAGCATTGAAACCCCGTTTCCAAATTGTGTATCATGATTGTATACAAATCATAAAATTATGTTGTGCTTTAGCATTTCACATTCAAACAAGTGTTACATTTCTGCACAAGTATGTATCTTATTGGGAAAAACTGTGATTGGGGGGAAAATAGCCTTGTGTTTATTGGTTGTGTTTTCCAGTTGGAAGAAATCAATAGTAAGAGGGCTAATAGTTAATACAAGATGATACTTGCTAGTGTCAGCTTTTGACCTTCTGCATTTGATGGGAATGAGACTGAATCCATTGTATCAATACCTTCTTTTTAGGTGGTCAAGTCATGATCAAATAAAGTACAATCCTGGATTCCTTTCCCTTGCATGGGCTGGAAGGAATCCTGCTGCCTGAATAAACAGCATCCCCCCCTTTCTATAATATCCACTACAGCAGTGCTTTCTATGCTTGGTGTGTGTGTGTGTTACTTTATGTAGTACATCTCTCTCTTTGGAGAGTTTATTTTTTTACAGGTTGCCTTTCAAGAATAGGGTTAGGCTGCTAACTCAAGCTTGCTTTTGTTTTACCCTGCTGATACTTTAATGCTGTGAGTTGCTGATTTCATCAGTAGAGGTAGACAGGTCAGGAAGCAAAATTTATCTGAAAGTTCTTGAAAACTGAAAGAACTGGGCATGTCGAGTTTGGAGAAGATTGAGGGGAAGATGTTCAAAGTCTGACAGAGAGAAAAAAAATCTCTTTGGGAGTTGGGAGGAGGTGAAGCAGTGAATGGGGAGAAACTGAAGGAAGGGTTTTATATGAAACAAGGGAGTAATTCTGACTGAGCAGAGTGAGGTGGCTTGCAAGAGATGGCAGAAAGGCTGTCTTGCTTGCAGATAGTTAAATTAGTTTGGATCAGCAAGCATTGAGGGAGAGAAACCTTCCCAGTGTGGTGCCTCTTAGATAGGTGTTACATCTCTCAGTTGCTGTCATCCAGTACTCCCAGAAGGCACCAACTTGAGAAAGGCTGGGTTAGATTACCTGATTCCCTTACACAAGTCAGTGGACTGTATTAAATTAATATTTTGCTTTCCTACCAAACCTCAACCCACAAATTTTATTCGTGGTTGTCTTTAAATGAGCCTTTGTGTGCATAGATGCCAGTTGCTTTCATCTTTGTTGATAGATGATCCATAGAAATGTGAGTAATGTTTTGATGATGTTTCTAGGGGCCAACAATTTCTTTAGCCAACTGTCTCTTTGTATTATATGACTGCCTTTGCTGTAGCACAATTTGAAAGAAATGAATGCAGATACCTGAGGCCAGCTTGTCAGCACAGCTTATTTAGAATTCATATTTTTGGACGTGAGTTTCCCCAAATGCTACAGTTTCCAAGCATGAATTTAGATTGGGAGTTGTTGAAAGGTTAGTCAAGTCATCCAATGAACATTTTTGGCCAGCAGTCAAAATTGCATTATAATGCAGTAATAAGGGAAAAAAGGAGGGGCAATAACAAATTCAAAGAGGAAAACAATTCATTTACAAGTGAATGTGCTGAGAAGTTTTGAGACAGGTTCATTGACATGCCTCTGAGCAAAGACTGCTAGAGTTGGGTTTCTTTAGCAGTGGAAGCAGAAGGGGGTAGACTGTTGTGTAATGTTGAGACTATAACTGACGGGCATCTAGCTGGGAGAAAGTCTATTTCTGAGTAGGCATGGATACATTTGTGCTATACAACAAGGATTGCCATGTAGAATATGAAAAAAGATTGTTGCTACTTAAAATTAGGTTTAAGCTGTAGGCATAAAACTTGTTTGTTAGGAGAAGTATCCTAGTTTTAAGGGCGAAAGTTGTCAGTGAGCTGTAGGATCTTTGTCACTGGAAGTTAAAAAAGAAAAAAAAAGATTTCAGCTGCTGAGAATTCTTGAAGTCCACATGTCTTAGAAGCAACCCAGTATGGGGAAGATTGTGTTATGTTATGCTTCAAACATTATCCCTCATTCTGCACTAGAAAGAATGCAAGGTTTTATTTGCAGTGGTTCCTTAAGTAAATTTCTGATGCTGTCTGAATGGCAGAATAATTTTTCAGCTCATGTAGATCACCAGTGCAAAGTGCATTTTGTAAAGAGGTCTTCATTCTGGCTGTCAGCATAATCCGTGTGCAAACCTAAATATGAGATGCTGTTAAATGGGTAAGAGTAACTTTTAGAAAATGGGATTTGCTACTGGGAATCTACCAGTAGTTTCTTTTTCTCAACATCATAATTTCTCATCACACTGTCAGAACCCTTTTGTACTTGCTTGGATTAAAATAAATCAGTGTATGCTTGAGCCAGGATTTTTTGTATGTTTATGCAATGGCATCCAGAATGGAGCAAGGCACTGATACAACAATCACAAAATTGTTGGAACAGATAGTTTGCTTTCACCTGATCCAGTGGCTTTAATAGAACTTCAAAATTCTGCTAAGGTCGATGAACAGCTGGTTGAAACTGAGACACTTGTTCCCTTATTGGCTCTCGTCCCTGCTCCTAGTTGTTGGAGCACCTTTGATCCTTAGGTTTGGATTCTGTGAAAGCAGAAAAGAATGGCTGCATCTCTAAATGGTAAAAAGTGTTCACTGATATTACAGCAATAACTTTTGAAACTTTTATTAGGATTTAAGACATCCTGACCACCCTGGATCTTACACCAAAGTTGTAGATTCGGTTTCCCATTGAAATAATGAATACAGTTGGCTAATTAGACTGAATGGAAGGGATACTTTTGAACTGATGTACTTGAACTCTGGAATATGGGATGTTTAGCCACCTTTCCTGTGTGCATCATTTAAAACGGTCAAGAATATCAGGAAAGCATTATTCATCTCAGCAACGAGGTACCTATTTACATGCAAACAAATGAACTAGCATTTTCCTAACCAGTAGTCTGTTGTATGGCACAGGCTTGAATCCATCAATGGAAACTAAAATGTTATCAAAATGTTTAATTTTAAGAATTGATCAGTCAATTTGAATACTAAAACTCAGATTCTGAATTTGGGCTTTCAAATAACGATAGAAGCCTTAGCAACCAAAATCTGGCTTTTGAGTTTTGAGTTATGGGATATGAAAAGAAAGGCGGCGGCGGCCAAAATAAAGTAGTATGCTATAAATCTGAGCTTTTTCTGGTGTTTTGGCTTAAATAGCATTGGTGGCTCTTACTCCTTGGGGACAAAGAATCAGCTCATATCCGTTCCTCTTACTTCTGCAATCCCAAAGCAATGGTCAACTGCAACTGAGTTCTGTTTCTGGCAAGAACAGGAAGTGAGGCCCTTGTAGCTGCTCCTTCTCTGTCTGATGAATGGGGTCAAGTTGGCTTCCTTTTTGGTGTGATTTTATTCCTGGCAAGAAAGGATGTAGCTTCCCTGGAATCCCAGACTCCCCTTGTGGATGGTAGGAAAAATAAGAGTGCGCTTCCCTTCTGCTGTCTGATCCTAGAGTTCATTTTTTGGAAAATTAATCCAGTGGTATCCTTGTGCTTCTGAAGTGGCATGTCAACACCTCAGAATTACAGATACAGGCTCTTCAGAATGCCCATGCAGGTCCATAAGTATAATCACAAGATGAAAAGGTGGGAACACTTCAGCACTTCCATTCTAAAGACTGGAGCTATAATTATGCAAAGCATCAGTCAGTCCTTTAGATTTACCACTGCTCACCCCAACTTACGAAATTAACAAACTGGTCTTTCAAGATGAGCAGGGCAGAAAAAATAGCTACTTTGATCTGTATGTTACAAGGCAGTACTTATGTTCAATTTCCAATGTGTTCTGGTACTGATAGAAATTGAGAATTACTGTATTTTTTTATTGTGGGAACCACTAGTTTCGCTTTATTGCACAGAATGTAGTTACGTGTAAGAATTGGATTAAAAAAAAAATATTTTGCATGATTTTAGTATTTTTGTGCCTTCTACTTGACTGTGTACAGAATTCATGTTTCACTTTGATCTGTTATTGGCCACAGGTTTCATATGTTTGAAGTCTTTTTTAAAATTTTGTTTAAACTTTATTTTGCCATCCCCACCCGAACAATCTATTGTAAATGTGTATATATGAAATAGAACTAAGTTTGTATTTCATGTGCCTCACTAGAATGTAAAAAAAAAAAAAAAGATGTATTCATTTTGTACAGAATGTTTTTCTTTTTCTTAGATGCACTAATTTTTGTCCTGAGCACTTAGTGAAATAACTGGTTAGGTCTGTTTTCTTTTAGCATTGCTGTGTTGAATGGAAGGAATTATTATCACTTGCCCTTTTGTAAAATCTAATTCACATTCATTCACTCTCACATACACAAGCTATGATCCTTCCTGGTTTGTTGCATTTATTTATAATGAGTTGCATCTCTTCTGTCCCGTTTTAGAGTTTAGAACAAATTAAATTGATGGCTTATCCTAACTAAATATGCTATTTATTTCATTGTAAGAGGGATTGTGCAGTTTCTTCACTTTGTATCAAATGAAGGGAAATCTCCCTCACGTAATTATTGGGTTCCAAGCCCATTCGCTCAGCTTCAGTTCCCTTCATTTATCTTACCATTAGGGAATAATACTCTTGCCTTAACTTGTAAGATTGCTGAGATAATAAACTATGTTGAATGCCGGGAAAGTATACTGCAAATACTTAAGTATTTGCCAGCTTTCAGGAGTGATTCTTTCCAGCCTGTGGGGAAGACAATTACATGACTACTCTGGATATTATGGGGCATTCCCTTACACCAAATTTTACTGTTTGCTCAGCTCACTCAGTTTTGCCTGCTGTGATTGACAGTGGCTTCCCAGTCTTGGAGAGGGCTTTTCTGTTGCCTGATGCTTTCACCTTGAGATGCTTCAGTTTAGCATGGGATCCTTTGCCAGGCTGAACATAACTTCAGAGGTAGGACCTCACTACTGTGTTAGTTAATGTTCTTCAGTAGTATCACCAAATCTGTCCTCAATCCAGAATAATTGTTAGAAACTGCTGGGTTTTCCATCACTATACAGTGATCGTTTACATAAGAACAACAACAAAACATCTCTATGGGGCTGCCTTAACTTAAAAGGATTCCTGAGATGTGGCCACTCCAGCAGTTGCCTCTGGAAGACTCACTAGTGGGTCATAAATGTAATAGCGCACTCCAGCTTGTGTCCAGGATCTGAGATGGATACCACCTCCAAACCACAATTTATGGGGTACACACGACATGCCATAAAGAAGTTTGGCTTTGCATTATGTGTGTGAAATCAGCCAATGTGTGAATATGTTGTTGGGGGGGGACACAAAAAATGTCAAGATGCTGCTGTGGCCATCCTAGCTGTTTTTAAACCTTCCTCCCCCCATGAGCATTGCTGCTGTAAACCATCCTTCCTGTTTTCATGAGTAGAAATAGGAACAGTAATCACCCAGGCCAGTGTTTCCAAGATATTCCCACTCGAATATAAATTGCAAATTCACTTGCCACACTAGTTGCCAGTGATATGATGGGTGGCTAGAATATAAGGAACGTGAGGAGGGTTTGAAGAAGTCTTTTAAAAGCCTTGCAAGGTCTGTACCATGAACTTATTAATATTTTGGCAGTATAGTTATCAATATAAGACCAGAAGGTCTATGAAAATGGGGAGGCTCACACCAACTCCCAAACCAAAAGTGGAATGTTACCTATACTCATTCGCTCTCATTTCTGTGTCAACATTTACCAAAGAACAGCCTTGTTTGGATACACTTTCAATTTCGTAGTCACATCCAGTCCCTTCTCTCCTGGTATTTATTCAAAACTATACTCACTTTCCCAGGAATAAGATGCAAAGAAAAAGCGTTTCCAGTTATATTTGTGAGCCTGCCACTGCCATTCCATTCATCTTCCCCAATTTCACAGCTACCGGCCCCTCAAATCCAGGGGCTAACTTAGCTCCCCATCTCAGGAACTTGCCATTTGACCAAGCAACGCTCTCCAAAGATGTCCAGGGTTTCAACATGACTGTCAGCATGTGTGACTGCAAGATCCAAGAAGTTATCAGAAAAATGCATCAGTCTGGGGACACACCATTCTAATACGTCCCCCCACCTTTAAAGTCTGAAATGCAATTGTACTGCACGTAAATTGAATACAATGATCTGTGATAGTAGAATTCAGTTGTTCTTCCGCCCCTTAATCACCATTGTGTTAGGAAAAAATAGGTATTTCTAAACTTATATGTGAGACCAGAAATTACTTCCAAAAAGTTCAAAATGCTTGAGCAGCTCACGAGAAAGGCTTTGGCATATAATTGGAAATCCTCCCAGAAGAGTCAACCAAGGGTATTCCAATCTTACCCACAATTTACTTTAGTCAACTCCAGTAGGGAATTCTATTGGGCATCTAACAAACACATATTCAAACCCAGTGATGGTTGATTAGGCCCTTTTTCAAGACAGTGGAATCCCAACACACCACCCCCATTTCACCTTTCCATTCTCGGATCAAATCTGTTGTTTCACAGGGTAAATATCACTGAAATAAAATCTAATCAGGTCTCCATGAGATACATCATGTAAACATATTCATCCAGCACTGTTTCACAGGATCAAGGTTTCCTATTAAAAACATGGCACACTGGCTACACTATGGTATCTGCAACATTGGCAGGGGGTGGGGGGACCCAAAGTGAATGGAATCTTTGAAAGTCCTGTTTGGTGAATCTTCCATCCATCCACCCACCCGTCCATCCACCCACTTACCTATCTGAAACCCTTAAAATATTTAAGGAGCAACATTATCTTCTACTCTGATTTTTATTCTCAGTCTGCCATGTAGAAATTTAATTCATGTCACTAATTATCAGAAACAGGCAGTCCTTACTCCCTGGAGGCAAAATAATTTATGCACTTTGAGCTATTTGCACTACTGTTCAGCCATTGGCTAGGTTCACACATTATGCTGGCCAAAATACTGCTCATGTGGCTGGATTAGAGTGTCAAACAGCTGGATTTATTGAGCAAACCATGGTTAAAAACATGTATTAATACAATGTTTGAACCCAGCCACTGAATTTCTGACCACATTCTGTATTTTCCCATAGAATTAGATTTGTCCCCAAGGGACCATAGCAGAAGTAAGAATCCTACAGCAGTCCAAAAACCCATGTTGTATCTCATTATTCCCCATAATAAAATGCTAATAAGAGCACACCTTACCACTGCAAACTGCATCAAGCACAACCAGTTTGTGCACTCTTACTGCCATATTTGCAGAGAGAATAGGATACAAAATCCAACAATCCTTTTTTGTGAAAACCTGCTCCTTCTCAGCATAATTTGATCTGTATTTATATTGCCAAAAGGATAAGAGAAAATAAAATTGGCAGCTAAGTGTCTTTCAGTGTGACACTTAGGCCAGGGTTCTATTTGAACAAGATTGCTAGAATTTAAAATATTTCCTGAAATGAGTTGGGAAATGCCAAGCCAGTGCCTAATGTCTTGAGTTATCTATACAAGGTCAGTCTTTTTTATCTTTTGGGTTACTCCAGAATGGCGCCTTGGAAATTGAGCTCAGAATCACAAGCAAGAATCACTTGAATTGCCTGTTTACCTGTCACCACCACCAATATAACTCTTGATATGTTTTTTCCCCCCAGTGCAACCTTTGGTCATCCTAACTGCCTGTGCAACAGAAGGAGTAACAGAAAACATAGTTAAGGAAAGCAAAGCTCTTATGTCTGTGCTACCTCTCTAAGGCTAAGACCTAAATATACGTCTAATTCTGCTGTCTTTGGGAACCTGCCTTATTTGTGCAACAATTCTTCATTAAAAAAAAAAAACTTTACAAACACTGTCAGCAGCTCCACCAACTTGATCTACCCCATCCACCAAACAGACCCACAATCAGAATCACTGTTGTGTAGTAATAGTAGTCTTTATTTCAGCTGACTGCCATACAATAACACTGAGTGATGAAATTTACAGCCATCCCATAGTGAAAGTTTGCCCTATATTCTATGGAATAATAACTAAAATTTAAGTTACTATTGCATACTTTTTTGCCCAGAAGTAAACTCCATCACTCCATCACAGTGGGGATTAATTCAAATTAGCTCAGACTGCAGTTTAAGCCTCTTTAAACCAGTTAGCTTAAACACATATACTTCTGTTCACAGTCAATATATGACAAGAAATACATTGCTTCTTTATTCAGAAATAACTCTCTGAATTTGGAGCTAACATCTAAGAAAGTAAGCAAAGGATAGCAAATTAAAATTCCATTCAAGGGAAGACTGCAACAAAATGGCAGAAAAAGCTTTTAACTGATTTACCACAAGCTTGTTCACCTCCTTTGAGTTTTCATATGCGGTCAAAAAGACAAAAACAGCTAGTTCCCAAAAGATCCTTTTGAAATTCTCCACCAAATTTAGGAGCAGACAAATTAGGTGAATAATTTCTCTGAATTTCTCAGAGGAAGAAGACATTCTCCAAGAATTACTCAAGGATGAAACTCTTGCTTAGGTGATTCTGCTAATGAAAAATCCCTCATCATCTTCCTCTGGGATTTAATAGAAGTACCTCAGGGAGGCTGCTGAACCTGAGAGAAAATTACCCAATGAAAGACAGGCCATTTGTACACACCCTTTGGCCACTGCACAACTAAACCAATTACAATAATATTTCCTTGTATCCCTAAGAATTTATCTGAAAATCTCTTCTCCCTTAAAAAAATTTCTAAAATACCTTCTTTTTCACAGAATTGAATTGATCTGCTCTGCGTCCATTCCAAACACATAACAATGGGAAATTATTTGACAAAGAAAGTAATCCAGCTTGCAATTCTCAACATTCACAGTCATTTTTGTATGCCATACTTGGGAGTTAGACCAGCAGATAGTACCTGATTATCCTTGAAGCACCCCTCCTAAAAAGAGGGAAGCAAAGAGAGGCAAACTGAAAGAGGAATGAGAAATGTTAGAAATAATTCTAAAAAGCCACGTGACAATACCTGTGTATCTATTAAACAAATGCTTGAATTAATTGGTTGATTGGATCAAGTCGTCTGAAGACCCCAATCCTGCTTATGCCATTGCTGACTAGCAATGACTTTTCTCTCCACTTTTCTCAGCTGAGTAGCTGAAGTGGAGCTCTGCTACTTAAGCTTTGATTTTCAGCTTTGATTCAAATGTCATTCAACTGAAACTCCTTCAAGCTGAATTGATCTGATGTCTAGAATCAGGGTGCTTTCAATTGACTAGGTGAATCAATGGGGTTTGGAGCCTGTACACTTTTATCCAGTTGCATCTTCAAAGTGATCATTCTGACCATTATTCTGACCATCCATTTGAACCAAGTCAACAGTTTGAATGGGATCTTGTCTAATTTGCATATTCTTTAATATTTGTCCTTCCTTTGCTGCTTGGGGCCCAATCTCTGCAAAATAATTCAACATATCTTTCTGCGCTTTGGCTGAAAAATATTCTGCCTGCAAGGTTATAAAACCTTCTCCTCCAACGGGTTCCCCCCCCCACAAAAAATATGCTGGGGCCTCAACTTCTGGGACTCCCAGTATGCACTAAGTAGCTGGGAATTTGGCAGGCTCTAAACTCAACCCAATTAGAGACAAGGTTAGAGAAGGCTGCCATCCCATAATAGCCTTTGA